AGAGCAAGAGGAACGGCGGCGGCGCGCGCGCCAGGAGGAGGAGGAACTGGAGCGCATCCTGAGACTCTCGCTGACCGAGCAGTAGCGCCCCCTGCCGGGCCCCTCACCCACTCCACCCCTGCCGGAACCTGGGACCCGAGCGAGACAAACTGGCTGGTTCGCCTGCAGAGCTGCGGCTGGAGCCTGGAGTCGTCTCCTCCTCTCCTCGGGCCGTGTAGCAGTACACCAGACGCGAGGTGGAGGTGGAGAGGGCCTCGACAGGGGCGCAGGGTAACTTTGCAGGACAGAGCCCTGGAGGTGACTGGCACGGCCTGGTCCCCCTGCTTTGCTGTATCCTGACTCCTAATCTGCTCCTCTGGGCTCCCATCTGTCCAAGGGCGAACTGGGTGGTTCTGAAGGGAAGACAGTTCTCAGAGGAGCATTGTCCCCATCCCTTGCTCCTTCTGGCCAGTCCTCCTTTCTGCTCACTGACCCCACTCCAGGACACTATCCCTGAAGCCTTTGCATCTCTGCTTTTCACCCCTGGGGGGCAGCTGAGTTCCCCACGTGCTGTGTCGCTGCTTTGTCCCAGACACAAACCAGCACTTCAAGGGCCCAGCCCCTCCCCACCCCAGCATTTCAGCGTCAAGTGCACTTAGCGGGGTGCCCGGCTCCCCCAGCCCTTACACCCACCCTGGGTCTCAGGTTGGTCCGGGCTTCTCCTTGGGCAGCAGAAGTTGAAGTACCCAACCTCAAGGCACAGTTTTGTGATCAGGGAGTGGGTCCAAGGTGGCCCCTGGCCGGGAAAGGCCTGACTCCCTCCTGGTGCCTTGGAGAATGGGGGGGGGCATATTTGGCTGGGGGCAAGCACTAGACCCGACACAAAACCGGATACAAAGGATCACTTAGGGCCCTGGCACCACCCCCACCCCTTCCTACCAGCTGCTGCTAGCCCTCTGTGGTTGTGCATCCCTTTTGCCCCAACTCAGGGGCTAAAACCCTTCATCCAATGGTGCTAACCCCCGGCTCTCCCCGATCTGCCTCACCCACCCAGAGAAGCACAGGCCCCTCAAAGGGCAGGGGCCCCAGCCTACTGCACATCCTTGTCCTGGGCCTCTCCGACTGGCCTTTATAGCTCAGACAGTGAGGCTCAGAAGGGACACAAAAAGGGGACAGAAGAAAAGAGCAACAAAGGGAAACTGTTCCTCCCCCTTCTTTCCCTGATGCCAGGGGCACCAGACTGATTCTGAGGCACAAATAAAGAGACTTCAAACTGGAGGCTTTTTCCTACCTGATTTTACTGGGGAGGAGTGCCCAGGGTGGGTGGGGTGGGGAGTCCTGCTGAACCTCAGCATTAGGAAGACTCTAGGGTAAGAGGTTGTTTGGTGAGTCCTGAGCCTAGGCTTGCATTTGCTAGGTTTTCCAAGGAGCCTGGAAATCTTTCCCCACCACCTGCCATCAGACATACAGGAGGCACAGACTTGCTTCATAAAACGTCATTATGTCTTGTTTTCTTCACAGAGTTAAGGCCACAGCAGAGGGCTGGGGGCAGTGTGTGTGTGTATGTTGTGAACCTGACTTCTCTGGCAGAGACTGGAGGAAGCTGCCCTATCATCTGCCATGGACCCCTGGGTGGGGCCTCTGCAGGCTGTGTATGCATCTGCAGAACTGGGGTGCTGCCAGCTCAGACCTGGGGTTTACCACTCAGACTGGTGGAATCAAGTGATCTGATTAGGAGAAGCATCCTAATTTTCCCCACTCAGTCTGGGGAGACCTGTGAATGACCACTTCTCTGAGGTCAGACCCAAACTCCCCAATATCCCCAAGCATTCTGCTACTAACTAAGCATTTCCCCTGTCCGGGGCGAGGGACAGAGGGGATACCACTTTGCCAAGCAGCACCATTGTGAGTCTCCCTGTTACGGGGTGGGGGGACCCTTAGGCAAACTCCACCAAGTTCCAAATCTTGGACCAAGAGCGCAGTCCAGCCCCTGACAGACAAACTCGGGTCTCCCATAAGCTCCCTTCTTCTAGGTCTCCCACGAGGGGCATATTTTCCTTCCCAGTCCAGCCTCCGACTCCAGCTCAGGAAGGAGAGGTCCGGAGTCCCAGACCAAAGGCTGGAGTGGGCTGAGTCGGTGCGCCCCGTGCGGTCCCGCTAGAGCACAGCCACCAACGCGCTAGTCGGTGCCGTCCACCAGCTCGCACAGCATGTTCTCCAAAGCTGTGATGCGCTGCTCCTGGGCCTGCACCCGCTCGCGAAGGGTCTTGATTTCCTCCAGCAGCGTCTCCAGGGTGTGCTGCTGCTGAGGCGAAGGCACAAGAGGCTGTATAAGGGTTGAGGGTAAGGGTGTGTCCGGTCTGGGTGGAACAGGGCGGGATCTTACCGACAAGGGGGTGTCGCTGGCCGATTGGCTGCGTCGGGGGCCAGAGGGCGGGCGCGCATCCAGGATGTTGCGTTTAGTGACCCGGAGCTCGCGGTGCTTAGGGGGCACGTAGCCGTCCCTCAGCGAAATGAGCACGGGTTCAGCGTCCTGACCCGATAGCCATTCATCCGCTTCCAGGGCAGCCTCTGGTCCGGGTGTATCCGGGTATAGATCGTCCTGGAAGAGGTCTGACTGCGGGGGTGGGTGGACAGGCGCACCCGTGTGAGCTGGGGTGCTAGGCCTGCTGAGCTCCCTTCCACCTTAGCGCCTTGTAACACCCTTCTAGCCACTCACCTTGCGCGGCACAGTCATGATGATGGGTTCACACTTTCTTTCGTGCAACTTGTAGAACCTGTAAAGGGAATCAGGTTCATCACCAGCAGAATCCCACCCTCTTAACGTCTCTGGTTTGGGACAATGGGTCGGAGAGCAACACCTGCCGACCGTCTACCCAGCACGTTGTACTTCACAGGCATTACCAATTTTGGTGTAAATCACCTCTGATCAGATGTTTGTCATTATTTTACAGGAAACCGAAGTTCGGAGAATGTCAGGTGAGTGGGCTTTGGGCCGGCCCTGAAGCAGACCTATTTGACCCCCGCTCCCAACTTTCTCCTTTCCAAAACAAAGCACTCTAGGGGAAGCTTTTGTGGTTAAGACCTGACAAGAGCAGGGACAGAGGCAGGCATGCGGGAGGGCCACAGCTGCTGACCGGGCGATCTCACACTTGCTGACGTCCAGCCCCCGTTTGGGCATGAAACCCATGCCCCGCTGCGGCTCTTTGCTGCTGAATGTGTTGAGATAGTGCACGAAAGGTGGCTCGTCCGTGATCTCAAAGTACCGAATGCTGCTGTCACCCTGAAAAACCAGTCTGTTGAGAGGGGTGCTCAGGCAGTTCCCGCACGTCTCCATCCTTCTCCCTGCTCTTCCTGCCAGGCTGTCAGCACCTTGCCACACAAGTAGACGATGCTGGAGTCGGGATCATAGAAGGGCAGTAGGACTCCATTGCTTGTGTCCATCTCCTGCAGTGCCACTGGCTCCTCGAAGTTGTTCTGCCCAAGCACAGGAGGCGTGACCAGCCCCGCTCATCCTGCTGTGCTACTTTAGATCCACCTTTAAGTTTCCTGCCCGGCCCAAATCCCACTGGTTCCCAAGGCAGCCCTGATGAGAGTTAAAGACCCCTTCCCTGGACACATTGCTACCCCACCCGGGCACAGGTATCCCCTGCATCACTGTCACTCCATGCAGTCACTGCAAACCACCCCCAGGGATTCGGCATCACCGGGTGTGGGCACCAGCGCAAGCTTCTTCAGGGAACGCAGCAAAACTAGACAGAAAGTGGGTGTGGGGAGGCGGGCACTGCGGAGGCGGAGCAGCCTCCAGCCCTGTCCAGGTGGGCATGCCCTGTGGTGGGGGGCGCCTGGCCCCTCTCGAGTGATGCCAGTCCCCAGGGCACACACCCCAAGCCTTGAGCTGCGTTACCGGGTCCCACAGGCCCAGCTCTCGCTGGCTCATGCGGGTGAATCCCGTGGTGAAGATATGACCCTGGCGCGTGAAGACAGCCCGCATGGGCCTCATCCCCTCATGGGCTGCAAACCTCTCCTGGGGGAAGGGGGAAGAAAGGAGGGGCATCACCCAGCTGCCTGCCCTGGGGAGCTTGGAGGGCCCAGATCGAGCAAACAGCTTGCTGACTTGAGTGCAGGAGTGGGGGCCAGGGAGAGACAAAGGGGTCTTAAAGAATTCAGCTTTCCTAGAGCCAGTGGCTGGCCCCTGGCCTGGAGAACATCTGCCCTGAAGACAGCAGCAGGCGCGTGCTTGGCTCTCAGCGGATCCGAAGCCAATAAGCGCCCTCAAAGGCTGATCCCTGCAGCAGGCGGTATCTGCCGGCTTCCCGGGGTCGCAGCGAGGCCTTTCCCAAACGGAGCTCCCTGCTCCCCTCTGGCCACCATGGGGCAGGGTGCTCCTGGCTGACCCAATGAAGGGGCGAGCGAGCTAGCGCCCCCGGCGCAGCCTGGCCTACCGGGTCCCAGAGCGCGAGTTGCCGCTCACTCATCCTGCTGAAGCCGGTGCTGAGCAGCTTCCCATCTGCGGTGAAGACGGCCCGCAGCGGGCGGGCGCCCTCGTGAGGCCGGGCTCGCTCCTGCTCGTGGGGTTAGTGGGTTAGAGTGCTCCTCTGCCCACCCGCTCCTGGTCGCTCTCCAAGCGCGTGCTCCACGCAGACATGCACCCACCCCACGTGCCGCACGTTAGATTGAGACTGGTGAGGCGAGGCCCACCACCCTTCGTGACTAGCAAGACACAAGGGTCGTCCCCCGCCCCAGTGGGTCAACAAGAGCGGGAAAGTGCCAGCTCCAGAGCCAGTGGTCAGGTCCCAGACCCTGGAAGATGGCGCTGGCTGCTGGCTGAGGAGAGGATCCCGGAGCTCAGGTTTCATGCAGGTTCTGGTGGGAGGGTGGAGTTTCCAGCTTCTCCCCTCCTCAATCTCAAAGCAAGGAACCCCTCCTCTGGCCTTCTGAGATGCAGGAGAGGGGAAGGAACAGGAGCAAGGCAGGAATTGCAGGCTGGGGGCTTACTTAGGGCAGGAAACTGTGGTCACAGAGACTTGGGGAGAGGACGACTCTGGAGTAGGGTTGAAAGCTAGGATGAAAGCTGGGATGCAGGCTCTGATGACCAGTGCCAACATCACTGGGTGATGCTGCTAGAGAGTGACCAGGTACTCACCGCCACCACTTGGCTCTTTCTGGGGTCAATAATGCGCAGTGTCTTGTCCTTGCACGTGGTGGCTAGCAGGCTGCCATTGCTGTTCCAGCACACGCTGTGGATGATGTCCGGGTGCAAGTCATCTAGGCTCAGCAGCACCTCCCCGGTGCCCACATTCCAGATGATGATCACATTGTCACCACCTGTCCAGAATGGCCAAGCATGGTCACCTGGGCCCCACCTCTGTTGGTTACCCTGCCCTCACCTATATTAGGGACCCTCCCTAGGCCCCCAGACCTGCACTGAGCAGGACATTCCTGGCAGTCGGGTGCCAGGAGAGGACGCCCACACGCTTGGAGTGGCCCTCGAGTGTGATGATAGGTTCTGTAATGTTTCTCACAGGGGTATAGTCTGGAATCTGCCACACCTGGGTAGGAAGAAGAGGTGAAGAATAGGTGGGATAAGGACCCAGCTCTGTTCCTCCCTCCTCCCCTTAATCCTACTGGTGATCTTGAATGGTAGGAGCCAGGAATAGGCAAGATAGGGTGATGTCTGCCTAGGGCAGGAGCAGCTGGGAACCAGGAGGGGGCACTGCCAGCTCTCCAGAGGCCTACCTCCCCATTCAATCCCGCAGTGAGACTTCAAAGCATCCCCCCACCCCTGCCCCCAGGGCCCCAAGTTGTTCATGGTTATAATTAGTCCTAAGCAGTGCATCCTGGGAGGGAGTGGACATGCAGCTAAGAATAGCTTGGAAGCTGGGCAGGGCAGGGCAGGGCTCTGGGAGTTAGCACCTCTCTAGCACCTTCCCAAGCACAGGTGAGGTAGCCCTCCCTAACCCCTTGCTCGACTGCCCAGCAGCATCCACCTGGCTCCTACCATGATGGTGGTGTCGTCTGAGGCACTGGCGATGACATTGTCATTGTGTGGGCACCAGTCAATATCCAGCACAGGTGCAGTATGCCCAGTGACCAGCGGGTAGTTCTTATCCACTCGTCCTGTCTGGAAGGTCAGAGAGAAGTATGGGGCCACTTTCCTGTGCTATGTATGTGTATATACAAGTGCCTGTGTGTGTGTGTTTGTGGTCCTGGGGATTGAACCTGGGGTTTTTTCCTCTCTGCACCTGTAACCTCCTTCAGTCCACTTCTTGCACTTTGCTGAAGGCAGATAAAAAATAACTATATATATATAT